AAAAAGCAGCAACAGCAAAAAAAAAAAACACCCGTTCCAGCATTTCTGTAACCACCGGCACTCCTGTCAGTATCTTTCAGTTGCTAACATTCAATTAACGTGACAATTAACGCTAGAGTTAATGTTGCGAAAGTGCCGGCAGAGGCAGCGTTTGGGAGTTTTGAAGCATAAAAAGCAAGAAATGCAGAATTGGGTTTAGGGTTTAGGCTGCCGCTGTTCAAGGCTTCAGCAGCTCAGTGCTCAAGTACCCTCGGAAAATGGCATCAGGTCGCGAAAACTTCAAGCGGACACCCCCAAATTACAACTAATTCGGGGTTTTGCGTTCAGGGTTACAACCTACACTCGCATGGAGATGGCTTTCAAATCAATTTAAAACCAAAGTGAACCGCACAGAAGTTGAAATAGTGCCCGCATGTGCTTCATCCACTGCAGATGAACCTGGACATTGCTAATAATGTAGAGTCTCTTGTGCACGGCATGTGCGCTGCCGCAGACGTCAGAAGCTGCAGTTCGACAGTAGTGACGCGATGAGTAGTGCCGCGATGCCAGGCGGCTTCCGTTTCTAGCCCAACAGGGCAAACACTACCGGGCAGGTTTGAACTTGATAGGAATCCCCGTTGAGACCACAGGCTGACCAGCCACAGAGAGAGAGAGAGGTTGAAGACTTCAACGGATACGGTGGCAAGCATGGATTCGCAATCTTCGTCACTTGTTGCATCTTGCGGCCGGAGTTCAGCCACAACGCAGGCAGCATCAATCATCAGTGCGTCATCATCATCAATGCATCGCCGGCACAACCACCGACGAACATCATCACACCTCACAGTCGCATGAATAAAACTCACGCCATTCAATCATCGTCGTCGTCAAAATTAAAATGGAAAGTGAGTTGTCAGGGTCGTCAGAAATCATGGCTGAAAAGCTCTTGCCAAGCCACTTTTTCGCCTTGCCTGGGCTCGCTTTGAAAGCCGGGGGTGGTGGACGTTTGAGATCTTGGGAATTCCTGTCTACACAGGTGCGGGGCTACAGTCGTTTGGTGTTGAAATTCTTGGATTGGGTTTGCCGATGCAAGAATCCAGATCGTCGAAGTCCTCAAGCTTTCAATCGAACCGGTGGCACGAAGCTACTCAAACTGACTGCATGCCAAGCGGCAGCTCAATTAAATGATCTTGGCTGCGCGGGACGCTTCCAAGAAAAAGCCCATCCTCTATCTTCGTCCAACTCCATCCTTACACAGAAAGCACTTGTCAAGGGTGGGCTTGCGGCGATCTACTTTGTGGTTACGCATAGCACTGCCTTGAAGATGCGCGTTGCAGCAACTGAGGCTCGAACTCTTGCGCTTCTTGCACAGGCGGATGGTGCGGGATTGCCAACTGTGAAGCTTCGTGGGCCCAAAGCCTGACATGTGCTTGTCAGCGGCTGAGTTGGTGCATGTGCAGCAAGGTCCGGCATTAGCACTACTTGGTGATAAGGATAGTATATGCTAGTAATGATCTGGTACAAATACCACTATGCTCCGACGCAATGAAATCGCGCAAACTGGAAGCCGTCGACATCGGCATTTACTGTGATTTCCGTGGTCAGCGAACAGACACGCATGTTTCTGTTCCGTGTTTTTTCTCGCGCGTTCTCGCGTCTGTCAATAACCGAACTCATCGGCATTTACAGTGGTGTCCTTGCTCGTGTTCGATTACTTTTCTGAAGCGGGCACCTTGTTGTTGAAAGTCAAATTGTATGCAGAGTTGGTGCGACTTAGTGTTTACGCCTCCTCGCCTGAACGCGTGTGTGCGTGAGCATGCGCCAACGTGGAAAGCATCAGTATTTACAGTTTACATGTACTCACCGAAACATTGTTTCGGTGTGCCATTTCGCGGCCACGCGCTTCCAACAGCCTCGGAGCGTGCGAATCAGTACCAGAAATTGAGAAATTGAGCTACACGTAGTAAAGGGAAGCAACAGTCGACGGGGCTTCGGGGCTGAACTTAGCACAGAGTGGGGTTGAGGACGTCAAGTTCTTGCAGGGTGCTAGGCTAGGCTTTGCGCACGTGTGAAGCGATTGGGCATGGAAGTTGCTGCTCGTCTGGATGCTGTAAAGTAAGGTTATAGAGAGTGTAGGGTGGAAGTCGAAGCCTCTGAGCAGAAGGGACTTAAGATCTCTCGGACCACCAGCATTTTCTATCTACCTCTGATCTATGTCGTAGCAACTGCTGTTTGTGGCTCCGAAGTACTCTGAATTGATTAACACAAGGAAACCGAGCAGCAACAGCAGCAGCAGAAGCAAGTTAGTCCAAGTCTTGTACTGATACTAGTACTAACACTAGCAGTAGTAGCAACACATTGCTACCAGTACTTCGATCTACATACCGAGACCAGCATGGAGGGTATAGATATCTCTCTAAACACTAAGGCCTCCGAGGTTGAGCCCGCCCCTCGTGCATCGGCCTGAGAAGAAGATCAGCAGCCACAGCAGCACCAGCACAAGGAGCGCCGAAACCAAGATTGCCGCCAAGACCTGCTCTGACTGACGGGCCCTTGCAGCAGATATGTAAGCATGTCTCTTACACAACAAAGCAAATCTTCGTTTTCCCGTATTGTTTTGGACCTGTGGCGGATTGCTTGGCTAATTGGTACAACCCATCTGCACGGCTCGCAACTTGCCGTCGTGGCCGCTACTTCGGCTTGGGGACAGTTTCGGGGCAACCCGCGCCAAGCCAATACCCATGTGCTTGCGATAACGGTGACAGCTTTACGGTAGTGCCGGTGAAAACGTTTGCGATGTCTGTGCAGGCACTGCTAATCCGGCGGCTGGATCAATGGCAATACAAGCAATCCTGACAAGAACACAAATCAGGCGGAGAAAGCGGAGACGACCAGAAAAGTTGGGTGGCAATACCAATCACAACGACTGTCGTGGCAGCAATAGCGGCAAAGCAGACCCCATGATCCTGTAGGAGATGGGCTTTATGTTGTATATTGGTGCTCTGGTTGGTTGTCGAACAGAACCTGAACCAAACGACAAAACAGGTAAGCATCCAAATCTACTGCGGTGTCCCGGAAGTTCCAGTTTCAATAATAATGGTTGTCCTAGTTGACAGCCCCATGTCGCACTCAACAGGCTTCTACCCAACACCATGGATGCAACACAACCCGATGGACGCCCAACAAACCTTCGACCTTGTTACCGAGCTCAACCATGCCAGACATAGCAATAATTTTAACAGTGTCATGTTGCAGTTCAGCAGAACGTAGCACAGTAATAATCGTTTGTTGTAGTCTTGTTCACAAAAACTTGTAGCATGAGATGATGTTAAGAACCTTGTTGGCAACAATGCCCAAAACCTGAAAAGCAGCTCGCACAGGCACAAAGCATGATAAGATTATGACACGTTTGTCGCCACAAATGCTCATCTATGACCGGCTCAGGCATGGAGGGCAGAAGCAAACATTCCGAAACCGCTGATGCTAAAAGCCAAGCCTGAGGCCAAATCCCAATGTAATTATGGTAGGTGCCTCAGCCTCCATTCTCCAGAACCTCGACCAGGACCGGCTTCTCCAAACGTCACTGTCGTAAGCAGTTGGCTTTCAAAGGTAAACCTATCCTCATTGTCGCTGAACTTTGTGAAATTGCTGTGGTTTGCCGTGAACGTGAAATGAACGCCGTTTACAATTGCTCCACAATCTCCTATCCTAAAGGCTGTACTGTTGTTTGTCTGGAGCAATAGTCTCCGTCGTGGCACGACAATTCAATTACAACCATAAAAGAAGGTCCCGCAGCCATGTTTTTGGCGCAAAGGACTCTGAGCCAAAATCCTGCACGTCTTGTTCAAGATCAAGGCGAACTTCAGAGGCTCGGCACTCCGCGAAGCCTAAAATATCGCATGTCGACTGCCTTGGGACTACCAATCTCAGTGCTTCTGCATGAGCAACCACTTCTCAAGGCTTACATGTCCCAGGTATTCGCACGGAAGCTCCGCAGAAACTCTGCCAGCCACACCACGCCCACCGCGCCATCGACACAGAATCCGGAACCTTGGCCTTTGATCTTCCGCTCCTCCGGCTGCGCAGGGCGGTTTTTCCCAGTGTCAACCCGAACTTTCAGGCTTGTAGCTTGACGAGCTTCCCTGGCTTTCAAAAAGTTCGAACGACGTCCGGTCATTGCTGCGTCACCACGAAGCATACGACAGAATCCTGCTGATTGATCTCGGGCTTGATTCCAAAGAAGAAGGAGAAGATGTCTGCGTTCCCGATGGAAGGAATCTCCACCTGCCGCAGTCAACTTGCACGGAGTGCAGAAGCATAACTTTTCTGACAGCGTCCTATGTCGCAAAGACATGTTCCGAACCCATATTTCACAGCAAGGCGCAGTGATCAATGCAAGATAAGCATCACCCCAACATCATTAGTCCCCACGACATGAAACAACCAAAAAGATAAACCCCTGCTGTGGTTGCTGAAACAGTAGTAGCTGTGTGGTCATAGTTAACACGACGATCAAACAAACAGGTAACCTGTGTCGACTAATGTGCTTCTGCAACGATTCTCTTACCATTGCAAATGTCACAGGATCAGAATTGCATTTTGAAGGAATAGCAGAGATAGTAGTAATGGTCAGTATGAATTGGCGTATCAGGTGGTAGTAGTGTTAGTAGTGGTAACAGTGGTGGTGGTAGTAGTAGTAGTAGTAGTAGTAGTAGTACAAGCAGTAGTAG